TCATTCGAAGCATCTGATAAATTGGTAAAGAAAATGAAAAATATTTGAAACATCGTTCCAAGAAGAAGTTTCGATATCACTACTAGCGTGGCTGTCGAAAAATTCGGAATGAGATAAAGAAAATGACAGCCATTATAAAACTGAAAATACTAGATCCAAAATATCAAAGAAAATCGAATGGAATCTTTCTAACAGACTTTCCTTCAGTTGAAAATGATGAATAATAAAATCCAGACTGAGAGTGAGCCTTGTTTTAAACAGTTTTTGCAAAGATTTTCCACAGTTTGGCAAATATCTCACAACATAAATAAGTAACAGTGAAGTCTGTAATTCTGAGCCTTGTGGAATCGTTTTCTGCAAGGGTTTGCCAGAGTTTGACTAACTTCTCAGTCGACAAAGATTCCTATCATGATGTATAGGTACCTAATTAAACCAGAGTTTGGTTGACAACGATACGAATAAGTTTGGACAAGTAAACTTATCCACATTGGGAAGTATTCCAGGAAATACCTATCCCTATCATGATGAAGGTATCTAATTAAACCAGAGTTTGGATGAAAACAATACGAATAAGTTCAGACATGTTGGGACAAGTCTTCACATTAGGAATTATATATTTTGATACCTTCTATCACCCTTCTATACTTGGCCAGAGTTGATTATTACATGGAAATATTCGTCAGAGTTGATAATTATATGGAGATATTAATCAGTTCATCACATATATATATACTTATACAAATATACATTGATACCTGTGTATACCGAACCAGAGTTGGAAATTGGATAGATATATATATGTCAGTACCTATCGAACTGTTCTATCATAGTTCCATCAGACAAAGTATACCAGGAAATATATACGTTGATATCCTGATAGTCAACTAGAGTTAGTAATTAGATAAAGATAATTGTCAGAGCTTGACATATATCTCAATCTGTCCTATCAGACAAAGTATACCAGGAAAAACTATAGAGAGTTGAAGTGATCACTGTACGTAGACCTCCACGTAGACATCAACGTACGAAAAAAAACATTCACGAATTATCATTAAACTGGGTTGAAGTCGTCACTTTGGTCGTCACTGTCATCGTAACGTGGTAATATATTTTGTTTTCGGTTTTTATTGGTCATTTTTGGTTGTTTGTTTATATCTGATCATTTATTCTTGTTAAAATGAGAGGGCTTCTTGTTGCAAAACTCCTTGGGGGTCCAGTATTTGATAATTTTGAGTCATCGGCATATTTTGAGTATATAGTTTGGTTAACATACGTTGATATTCAAGGTATACGTGAAAGTACGGCGTGAAATAACGTACACTCATGAGGCCGCTTTAACTCTCTAATATAAAATTGTTGATACCAAACCAAAGTTGGAAATTGGATAGGTGAATTGTCAGAGTTTGACGTTTCGAACTGATGTTCTACCAAACTAAGTATACCAGGATATATATACCATGATATCTTCTCATACTCAGTCAGAATTGGTAATGAGATAACAATATTTGTCAGAGATTGCCATTTCGAACTGTTCTAACAAAGTATACCAGTAAATACACAGTGTGATCCACTTCTAATGGAATCACCCCTGTATCTTTCGTAATCGTTGGGTAAGGATCCTTAAATTTGCTAGAGCGAGAGATATAGTGAAAATGCACTCTATGACCAAGTTGGGTCATCTTCAGTGATATACACTGCTTGCCAACAGCCATGGAATCACCCCAATTTTTGGAAAATTCATATTTTTCCTGGAAAGTTTTCAGTTCTGAAAAATTGAATTTTGTCACACTTTTTACGGAAGCACCTCCGTGTCCTACGTAATTGACTTCATCTCCGTACTTTCCCTTCCTCCTGCAAATTTCAGAACACAACCACAATAATTACGTGGGATACGGGGATGCTTCCATGAGAAGTGAGAAAAAATGTAATTCTTCTGAACTGAAAATTTTCTAGAAAAACTATGTATAGTTAGTGAATTGGGCGTCCTGATTCCGAATCCGAAGTGATTTTCAACTTATTTTGACTCCTAATATCATTTTCCGGAAATTGGGGTGGTTCCATGGCTGTTGGCGAGCAGTGTATATCACTGAAGATGACCCCACTTGGTCATAGAGTGCATTTTTGGTATATCTCTCGCTCCAGCAAATTTCAGGATCCTTACACAACGATTACGTAAGATACAGTGATGTTTCCATCAAAACTGGGTCACACTGTATAATCTGATTTCTTTTCATACTCAACCAAAGAAATTCGTCAGAGTTTGACATCTAGAACTGTTTCATCAGACAAAGTATAGCAAGAAATATGAACTTTTGATGCTCCTTTATACTAAACCAGAGTTTGTAATTAGTAATTAGATAGAAATATTTGACGGAATTTGACATCTCAAACTGTTTTTCCAGTTTTATCAGACAAACGTATAGTTGGTAACTTGTGACACTTGACAAGGGACCGACGGATGTCAGTCGACATAACCTTGAGTCGACATGACATGACAAGAGAGGTCGATAATGAACAATGACTGTACAAGACAAGTAGCTTTATAAAGATAATCCTTAGTATTCTTTAGCAGGAAATGATATTTATAATAATGTTGATACCTTTTTCATACTAAACCAGAGTGGATATTGATAATGTTATTAGATAGATATATTTTTGAAAGTTTGAAGTCTTCAACTGATGTGGTGATACATTTTTAACCAAGTGAACATCACAAATTTAATGAATATATTCACTTAGTCAGCATTTGACAATGAAGGAACAGAAAAACATTGTTGACAGTTGACAATATCTTCTTTTATTTCTCCAGATCTTCCATTGCCAGACATCTTGGTGCATGCAAGATACAAGGGGCAATGAAAGAAATAATAATCTTCTTATTACAAAATAAATCCTTATGTTACCAACAAATGTTCTTCAAGTATTGGGAAAAAGGAATCAACAATAAATAAGGTTGGACATACTTTAGAACATACTGAAAGGGTAGACGCGTCCATTCTAAAGAGGCTGGATCTAGTCTGCCGACAATAACCTGTTGTTTCCAACAGTCAGGCAGTTGATCGACCTCCGAAACGGAATAATCCAGTAAAGGCCTCCTTGAATTTGTTAGTAGTGAGGCAAGATGAACGTGTCACTGGCATATAAAATCAAATCAGATAAGTATAAATATGTATGCTATAGTCCAGCCACTCACTATATATGTTGATTAGTAAAATAGTGAAAGATATGGGGGGGGGATAGTAACCTACAGTTTATAGAGTTAAGAAATAATGCTGAGCACATCAAAAGGTTCAACAAATCCTATTTGAAAACATTAAGACTTCAAGAGGGTACGTCCCGACAAGTTACTGTACCTCCTCGTCAAGGCGGACAGAAAATATATTCATATCGAAGGTCACAGGGCCAAACAAGAAGGCGAGGAATAATCCCAAATACCCGATGATGTGTTGTGACAATGTGCTTTAAAGAATGACTAGATCCGAGACGAAAATCGATAGGGCAGAGAGGATCTAGAGATGGGAGAAAAGTTTTAGATGCTTTGAAATTTGTGACGCCACCTGGTGCGAAGTTGGGGTACTACACTTGTGAGCTCTTCGAACGAGGCGGTTCATATAATCAAGATCGAACTTCACTCAGGTGAGTTCGTTTGATCTTGTGATTATTCACTTTTGATAGTTGTAACTCCATCGAATAAAACCGCGACATGATGAACGAATCGATCTCTGAGGAAACATAGAGGCTAAGTGATACAAAAAATTGTCTCGAACACTTGTTGATTCGCTCCACTGTGCCAGGGATTTCCCTCATCATGGAAGGAACAGTTGTTTTTTTGAGTTCATCTAGTGCTCATCTACAATTCTTTTATGAGTTTTTTTTCCGGGGTGAAAAGGTAGTTGACGCGTTATTGCTATACCCAGCGCCACTGTGCCATGGGTTGCGGCAGGATCAGACGTGGCACACTGAGTTTCCCTAGTCGTACTCATTGAAATGCACATCTAGTGATTTTTTATGTGTCTGGGGGAATAAGGAGAATATTGTAAAATACGCGACTGGTTATCAATTCATAAAATACATACTTTCGACAATATTTGCTCCGACACAGTTGCAGTTTTGTGATATATGTTTTCATGACCGACCCTGTAGAAAACATAATTATCGTCCTAGGGTTCAAGGTATAACAATCGACCAGGCTCTCCGTTTTTTATAATGAGTCTATGTTTCTACGTGTGAATCTGAAAACACACACTTCATGGCCAGAGTAGGTAAACCCAGTAAACACACTTACGTCGAAATACCGAGTAAAATGTCTACAACGGTCGGTTAAATGTTTTTAACCAGTACGCAAACATGTTTTCAACTACTTATTGAAGTTTTCAACCAGCATCTTCATTTCCACAACTCCAACCGTGATTCAAGGTTTCATTAAAGAGTATGTGTTTACTGGGAACCATCTAATTCTCGAACGATTATTACACAACGCATGAAACAAACCTTTTCAGAAACGCACTAGTATCCTTAATAATATTGGATTTCGAGATTGGGTGAAATATTCAGAAGTGGACCATTTCATTTGTCAATCAGTTTATATCAAAATACAGTGGGCACAATGTATACATAGACTATTTGTTTTATTTGTGTTGAAGTTGAACTGCGTTGATTGGTTGTGATGCAAAATCTCATAATATATCGTTGGTTGATGATTCATTATAAATATTCTCAATAGAAAAAGAAACTATTCAATTGTTCAGAGGAGAAAAAAAAAATAACTTACCTCCTTCGTCAGTTTTGAAATGAATTGAGAATTTTTTTTCACTTATCCGATTCTTGATTGTTAGACTGTACTCTGTATTGGGCTCTAATGACCTTATGATGAACAATTCTTCGACAAACATTTCCTGATGATTTTCTATTTCATAATGATAGTTTTTCAGTCTACAACTATCAACTTTTTTCTAGAAAAATACCTCGTCTGTATGTGTTTCTTCGAATGTCCCAAAACTTACCTTCACAGTTACTGATGCAGTGATGTTATGAGGTTCAATTTTGATGTCAGAATCACTTATTTCTAAAAAAATTGATTATAAATGAAAATATGCTCATTCATATGAAATATTGTATCTTTTACTGTGTGTAACAGGATCATAGTTTACCAAACCATTTTGATGAACTCAATTTGGCGATGAATTCGAGGATAAATCGGGAACTACACCAGACTCGATCAGAAAAGTAAAGGCACACTCAGATGGAGAATCAGAAATGGAGTTGAAATTAATATTGAAGTTTGAAATGCCAATTATTATATGGTATCATTTGAATCAGAATTCGCAAATGCAATGATATACAGAATGTTCCAATCGAAAATCAAAAATCAAAAGGTAAAATCATTACCGGTGAAATCAGAAATGGAAAATAAGACATATTCATGTCAAAACATGACGTAAATCAAATTGATAGGTTATTCCAAATTTTCACTTATCTCCAAAACTAAAGGAGATAATGGGGGTGCACCATGATCCTGTTACACCCGGTATAATTGATTCATTCATTTATTATAGTTTCATTATATTAAATCTATTTCATTATGATCTGTTTCATAATCATCATACAATGAATGAGGAATGAATTTTATTGAATTATTTTGGAATGAACTAATTTATTTTCATATAACAGAACACCATCAGTTGATTTGAAATATTTACAAAAGCTACACCACTGTTCTGATTTCAATGATGTTTCAAATTGTCCGCGTTTCTAATTTTCACTCACCATTGCATGGAGTTTTCCATCTGGTAGACTGCACGAAATCCTTATCTTCTTTCAATTTTCTACCATTTCTATTGATATTAATCACGGCTCTCACTCTGTAATATGTATCTGATTTCAAATTTGTTATCAAAACGAATTTTGTTTCGTTGATGGTTAACTTATCACCAACAAGAATCCACCAATTCTGATCATTCTGCAAAAAACGATTCCTAAACTTATGAATAAACATGTATCTCATTAACTCGATTAACTGAAGATTTTCTGCGCGATATACCTTAGATGAGCTTTGCTCCTCATTCGAAAATTGATTAGGGTCTTCGATGTACTGAAAAACATAGGAAGGATACCTGTCATCATATCCTACCACTTCGAAATTTTCCATTTTCACTTGTGTCGAAGAAAATGTGATGTCAGACACAATCGGTTGATGAACAAAGAATGGTTCAGGTGCTGGAAATACGAAATGAGCTCAGGTAGTTTGATAGTTCAATACATACAACCAAGACAAAAAAAATACGAAACGTCCGAAATGATATATTTCAATTTCGAAGATGATTTTTATTGATCCATTTTCCTTGCCAGAATAATCTGAAGAGTATATAATAATAATGTGTTTCTCTTTTTTCCCTTAGAACGATGAAAGATATTGAGATGCTCTCCGTATCCAAATTCTATTCTACACATAACCCAACAAACACGACAGAACTGGTGATTCAATGGCTCATTGAATAAATCGATGGCATACTGCTGGCACTATTTTTCATATGAGACGTAGGTATGTTGCACTTTCATTTCGCTGGTACAATAGTATATTTTTGATATGAATTCATGTGAATCAAAATTACACTATTTTTACGGCATTGGGCAATCAATGGGTAAAGTCTATTCCACAAAGATTACTGGAACGGTACTGATTGAACAATGAATGGAGGATGTTTAGGTTCCACACAATGCCATGAAGTCATCAACGAAATGACAATAATGGACCATCAGCCTATCAGATGCATTCAATTGACATAGTTTTTTCGTCAGTAACAATTGATGTGTTTTCCATTTGTATTCCATTTGTATGCCATTTTTTATTGTAATAGGATGTGATGTGAACTGCTGACTTCCCGGACGCTTTTTCTTTGAGAAAGTAGCATGTTTCCGGCCTAATCCGGGAAGTGAGTACTTCCGGGACTAAGACGGGAAATATCACATCGTTGTTGTCACTGTAACTATAAAAATCTTGGTAGATAAGGTTTTGATGAATGCAGATGATAATTACCATAGCAGCGAAATATCGGCTGACAGCTATTTGACATGAAATTAGTTGACATTTGAATTTTTGAAAGTTTGGTTGCAATTATTGGAATAAACTTTCGAAAGTAGCCGCGATAGTGAGTTTGGAAATGTCCATACGAAATTTCCAATGTAATAGTTAGTAGCACAAAGAAATATAATATGGAAATGTGTCCCATTGACTTGTTAATATACATATGGTTGCCAAAAAAATTTTTCACGTCACACGTCCAAAAACAATTTTTTTGGACTCACAGACTTCTAGGACTCGCCTACGGCTCAGCCTGGAATTTTGTCTATATATACTCGTCCAAAAAACAGTATTCTCCGGACTTGTTACGTAAATTACTATTTTGTATATTTTTGCATAGAAATTGACAGAAGAGATAGTAGGTCTGATTTTTTGATAATTTGAAATGTTAGTTTTTGATTGAAATTCTAGATAGATATGATTAGTCTCGATTCTATCTTATGAATTTTTTATGAAGTAGGCCCTGTTCTAATGTCAATATGTGACATGGCGTTTGTGGACAGTTAATCAATGGTAATCGAAATATCATTGCACTCAAGATGCCACTTCATATAATAAAGGCTGAACAAGGCGAAAATTCGAATGCTGCGATGTTTAATACCAAATAAGATTTCCATAACCAAGAATACGTAGCAGAAACCTTCACGAGAGTGAACATAGGGAATATTGCGAAAAAACAGATGCATCCTCATATCACTTGCAAAAAATGGAGCTCAGTTCAATGGTCATCGCATAACCAATTTGATGAATCACCATATGGGCACATGAAAATCCTCATGTAATAATTTGATCAGGTGGTACCCACCTATCAGTTCGGATTGTCAACAAACGTCACATCACACAATGAAGAACCGGGCCTACTAAATAATTCATTATTACTTCAATATCAATCTAGAATTTCGATAAAAAAATAACATGTTTTTTTCTCAACTACTCACCTGTCAATTTCTATCCAACAAAAATGTGCGAAAAATCAACCCAGTTGGGAGTTAAAGATTATCAGTCAGTTCGAAATTGAAAATTCATTCGACCGATTTTGTTTCATATTACACATACAAAATGTGCGCTGTGCATATTGAAGAACATTTCTAATGGCTTTTTGTTTGATCTTTCTGAATCTGATGAAATTTTTCGAGAAAAATTGTCACAAAGTAAACTTTTTTGACATAACGATATAACATAAATTTTTCCCAAGTCCGGATCTAGTTTTTTTTATAACAATATATATAGTTGCACTTTTAGAACAATTTAGTAGAAGAACGTCGCTGACAAATTTCTGCAAACTACGATGAAACATTTCTAAAATATCTTCGTTATGCAGTGTCAAACAAATATTTCATATATCTAATATACAGGGTGTCCGGAAATTATGCGCAAAAAATCGAGGGGTTGATTCTGCATGAGAAAACACGAAATTTGTTCCATATACGTGGCTCCAGAAATGCATAGTTTTCAAGATACAGTGTGTTGAACTTTTTAGAAAAAATCGTGTCAAATATCCTTCCACAGATTCTCTTGAAATTTGGCAATGATATTCTTTGTCATGAGGGGCTGATTCAGCCATGATCAAATCGGAATTGTGAAATGCAGTGGCGTCCTGGGGGCACCCTACAGAATTTTATTGTCAATAAAATGTGCGCCACTGATTTTTTCATATTTTATATCTCTATTGGCAAGGTGACGATTCCGATACGGCACCTGGTGGGCAAATTTGAACCAGTTTAGGACGTAATTCAAGGTCATGTTTGTTATTGTGTTCATTGTTCAATGGGTTTCATATTTTATGAATGCCATTCAACAAATTACGTTAATTTTCTCTTCTTGATTCTCTTGAGTACAAGACATGAACTTTATATCAATTGCCTAATCAATTCTATATTATTTTATAAATCAGTATCGACAAATCTCTGATAATACGCGAAATCAACTGTGGTTGCTGCCGTTGCTGGTTGAACTAGTAGAAGGTTCCAATGGATAAATGTAGGACCTATAATATGTCCTCTAATATGAATTTCCTGCACTCAAGAAGTCTTTTCTGATAATGAAAAATCAGTTCAGTTGAATGGAAAAAATGGATAAACGTTGAGAATCCAATATGAGTTTGAAAACTGGATGTATGCAGCTCCAACAAAAACTTCCTACCTTTCTTCAATTCATTGGTCCAATAATGATAACAATAAGGTAAATTTGTGATTCATTGATATATTTATTACTGATGAATAACTCTTATTTGCAGTGCCTATCTGAGAGAGAACATGATTGAAATGATCAACAGTTCATACCTATTTTGTTTATGGGGAAATGTCTCCAGGACTTGGAAAAATAAGTATGGTTGTTTTACTTTCAAATATTTTTATAAGAAAAATAAAGAAGCAAATTCAATGCCTTTGACTTTTGAACTGCAATACACAAAGCTGGGCAAGAAAAAAGACATTATGAACATGTGCAGGTGGGTAATTTATGGTTTTATTTGTAATGCTTGACTCATGTTCATGACATCCTGCCTAGGCCTCCATAGATTCCTATTTTAGTATCATCTTTGTAGTAAAATAGCCAATGCAGATTGCATGTACTTCCAAAATGATTAAGTTGAAATACAGCTCCCAATTACATTCATATGAGCAAAAACAGAAGCATATTTTATAGATATATAATAACCCTGGTACAAGCAGATCATTCTTAGCTTGAATTAAATCATTGAACATACATTGAAGTGACACAATCTATTTCTATTTGAATATTTAGATGCTGTAATAGCTAATAGATATGGTTTGTTTATAGTAGGTACTAACATTTCTTCAATTTTTCAGCAGGGGAGGAGTTGCCATACAGGGTATTTTACAATTGAGTGCAAATAGGTACACAAATTGAAACCAAAACCCAGATTCCTTGAAGTTGAATTCAAGTTTTTAAGGAGATATCACTGATTATTTGGGTACTTGAACATATCCAAGACATTTCAAATTGTATCTTGGAAAAATGTATCCATAATTTTACTGCTTGTATGTTAGTATTAAACTGTATTCCTAAGTAAAAGTTCTACTTTTTTTTTCTGTTTTGTAATGTTTTATTTTAGGTTTTCAGAATTCATATTTCAATTCGACAACTACCTCAATCAACACCCCATTCTTTTTTGATGCAATTTCAAAGTTTCACTTTATAATCTTTACTGATTCCTCTTAAAATAGGTACCTACCAGATAGATACTTACTTTTGCTCATTGTTAATTCATTTCTACATATATGAAAGTCCTGGATTTCAAAATCATTCATAATTGTAAATTTTTATGAAGGTATCTTGTAAAATAATTCAGGGAAAAACAGTATACATGAGCACTGAGGGAAGGAGTATACTGGAAGATCCATCTATTTGTAGGTACTTCTTTCTGCACTTCTTTGGAGTGGCATAAGTACAGAAAAACACATGTTATGTAAATGTTCTTTCATTTTCGAAAATTATTATTAATTCAGTTCCAAAATATATGAAACATAATGAACTATACAAATTGATGAGATATATATTTTCAATTAGATGAATTTACGATTACAAAATGATATCAAATCACAAAATTTATGATGATATACTGTGTAAATACATTAACTGAAATCCTAGGTCATTTGATCAATGTTTTATGTGGTGGAATTCCAAATTATTCAATGATTTCATCAATATGGTAAAAAAAACTAGCATTAAAAGATATTAAATGAATTCCAAGAAAAAAACTCAGTCAGGATGTCACCTACCACAACTCTAAGTATATTAGGAATATTCACATTATGAAATTCACGCACATGGTACATAGGATCATGACAATTTGCTGTTATTGCAGTGGAGCACCATAATATATGAGGTATGGGAGTTGCACTGTAAACAATCCTCAAAGCCTGGAAGTAATATTGTTGAAGATAGGCCATTGATGGTTGTATCTACTATTAAATCCACAGTAATGTCAGGATGCCTTTGGTGTTGAATTATTTCTTGGTTTAGACTCATTAGAGCTGGTTGCTGCTGATTTCTATTGTATGGATCAATTGCACATGATTCTGATGGCTATAATATTTAGCACAAAATAGCCCAATAGGTTAACACATTGTTTAGGGATGGTTTTCCGTTTTCAATATGTTCACAGAAGGCT